CCCTCAAACTCAAAGCGACAACATTAACGATATTATCATTTGCTTTGTCTTTCCCATGTTCATCCATGCCATGTTTTATAGGCCTCGTTAAAAACAACTTACTTGCGAATAATTGTCCTATTCTTCAACGCTCCTTACTTCCCGGCTCCAGCAATCTAATGCTGCGCACACCTTGACTATACTCCTCGTCGATTTTGATCAATTTAGATCTCTGTTTCTTTTATTCTTTCAAAAATGACAAAGAAACCGAAGAAAACCCAACTTCATTTTTTAATCCTCCGTTCGACTGTGTACATAACTCGAATGCGAAATTGTGTTCTTTACCCTTTTCAAAAAACGCGCGCGTAGACGCACGTTCGTACGCGATGTCCTATCCAGTCTGTGTATATGGAGATCACAAAGCATGGGAATGACAAAGCAAATTATAATATCGTTAATGTTGTCGCTTTGAGTTTGAGGGGATGGAGGCCTGTGTGCTGGTCGGCATCATTTTTTTTTTGGAAAGACATAGGCCTAAACGTGCATGACTTACCCGGCAATTAATGGCAATGAACAAAAGTTGACTTGTTTAAAATAGTTTATTCGAATAACTTTTATATGCAAAATCTGATTGAATTATGTCTGCCTTGGCTTAACGCCTACCGAAATGTTTCTATTCCTTTTCTTTATAAAGAGAAACCGAGGAGATGGTTTATGCTAACTTACTGCACAACCGGCCGATTGACCTTCATGTCAAACAAAGAGCTTCAGCAAAGCCATAGCAAAAACCACCAGCTGCTGGACGATATCCGAGACGGACGAAAATGGAGAACTTCACGGAGGGATGGAATCGACTGTATCATCCACTGAATGGAACATGCGATGTGATAGGCATCTGAGAGTTTGACTTAATCAATTCTTACGACGTGGAACTAAATTGATTGATTTTGTTTTTGGAAAGAAGCTGTGGAGTTCAACGAAAGTATTTTTATGAGCTCCCAAGATGACTGTCACATTATTGACAGTCTGTATGGTGAAGAAAGCAAGTACTTTTACGGTTTGAAATTATATTGTGTACGCCGTAAATATAAGATTACTAGCTATAGCCATATACACCATCATATTCGCTCACAAAAAACGATTCCCATTACACTTACAAGTAATTATATTTATATTCAGAAGTATTGCTAAATATTTATTTATAAACAAGACCGTGCGTAGCTTGAATTATTCCTTGACAAAATTAGTATAGTACTATATTTTGTTTTGTGATTCATCTCCTTTCACACAATATCACAAGAGGTAAACGATGTCATTCCCTGATCAATCTAGGGACGGGAAGAAGATTTTACTGATTACTTTGTAAAATTATTTTGTTTTTACCTTTTAGATTCTAATTGGTTTATGTTCGGGTTTTTAATAAATACATCATCATTTGAAAGAATCTCCATACAATTTCTCATGTGAGAGTTCATTAAAAAAAATATGATGTGCATCTTTAATTTCATAAAACCTAAATTCATGCTACACACCGGAACCGCGGCGGCCCTAGTGGCCCTGCAGCATGAACATGTACACAGCAGTACATACAAGTACAGACACGGTCGTCATTATATTTTGTGTTGGTGCATGTACTGGGGTCAAATTGAGCTCTATATTCAGCGCAGTGGGAGACAAGATATTGAGCAGATAATACGCTAAAAATCGGTGGAATCGTGCGAATATATAGCAGAGGATCATCTCCCTAGCTTTTGGGCCATTATCTAGGAGCAGATTTGATAAAATTAGGGTCCAAAAATGGGTCCTAAAAATGAAGGGTTGCCAGAGGAAAAAGCAGAAGGCAACTTTTCGGCCACCTAACTAAAATCTGCCGCTTTTCAGGTGGCAGAAAAGTAAAAAAAGTCGAAACATTTGCAGTACAAAAATGTATTTCGTCCGTCCTCCGTAGAATTTAGCCTTCTTTCATTGTTTCTTCAAAATAACAGCTTGCCAGAAAGAGTAATTTTACAGGGAGTTATTCCCCCTATCTCTAAACCAAGTATATCGCGCTTTCCAACAATAATAAGTCAGTAGCTTTTTGGATAGCTGCTCATACGGCATATCGCGTGAGCGCTAGCATTGTAAACGGCGATCAGATGCAGTTGCATTTATTTTAACTATGTGAACTTGTGAACTTTGCACTTACCTTTGTGCTCAGCCCGCGTACGCTTTACGCATCGCCGGTGCCATATGAAAATCAGACTCTATGAAAATCGGACTCTTTTCCCCTTTTATTGGTTAAACCCTTTCACGTGACCGGTCCCTCTCCTAATTATCCATGCATAAGCATGCGCGATACCACCAATGAGTCCGTATTTCATAAAACCTAAATTCATGCTACACACCGGAACCGCGGCGGCCCTAGTGGCCCTGCAGCATGAACATGTACACAGCAGTACATACAAGTACAGACACGGTCGTCATTATATTTTGTGTTGGTGCATGTACTGGGGTCAAATTGAGCTCTATATTCAGCGCAGTGGGAGACAAGATATTTATTAGTGGTGATGAAATCCAAATTGTGACAGAGTATAAGTACCTTGGGACGTACATTGATAGTAAATTTAATTGGAATGTGAATACTCTTAAGTTATGTGCCAAGGCTAGTCAACGGCTCTTTTTCCTGCGGAAATTGAAATTATTTCATGTTAATCGTGATATTATGTTGCTTTTTTATCAGAGTGTCATACAGTCCGTCATGTCTTTTTGTTGTATCGCCTGGTTTAATGGTTTGACTGTTGTGAATTCGAACAAGTTGAAAAGGATCACTAAAATTGCCAGCAGGGTCATTGGTGTTGATGTTCTGGACATTCAATCAATGTACCACAATGCTCTTGAATCCAAACTGAGAACCATTATGCAAGACGATACTCACCCACTCCATTCGTTCATAGTACAAAACAGGTCAGGTCGAATCCGTCAATTGAACTCTCGTACAACACGACACAACCTTTCATTTTTACCCAGTGCAGTTTCACATTTTAACAAGAATTATACTAGATAATGCTGTTTTTATAATCGTGCTGTAGTGTGTTTTTAGTGCAATCAGATTAGCCCTTATTCTGTCTTATCTCATAATATTCTTATCCACCCCTCCTCACACATCTACCCATTTGTGTCGGGTTAAACTAGTAAATTGAAATCTCGTTAACACGACACTTTTTTCCCCTTATTTTTACCCAGGGCAATCTCGTGTTTTTAATCAGACTTATAGTAGATATTATGCTTTTTAAATCGTGATGTAAATGTGTGTGCTTATACCCCTCGTACATGTAAGTTTAAACCCTTTCCCTGTTTCCTTTTCCCCCGCTCATATCCCCCTGGCTTTCTAATCCCCCCCGGCTTGCCATTGTGTCCTTCCCATTTTTCGTCTTTATACATAATAGCTCTATCAATCCAGATATTTTATTTATTTATTTAATTAGGCTCAATTTGTTGTTCTATTTCTGTTTACGTGTACTCTTGTCAGTGTTCTTATATTGTTACGCCTATTTGTACATTTATGTAATATGTTTTTGTTTTGGTTTTTAATGTGAAGTTTTTTAGTGTTTTATACATCATATTTGTGTGCAGAACGAGGAGACAAGTTTCATGTTTTTACATGATGAGAATAAATAAATAAATAAATAATAAATAAAAAAGATATTGAGCAGATAATACGCTAAAAATCGGTGGAATCGTGCGAATATATAGCAGAGGATCATCTCCCTAGCTTTTGGGCCATTATCTAGGAGCAGATTTGATAAAATTAGGGTCCAAAAATGGGTCCTAAAAATGAAGGGTTGCCAGAGGAAAAAGCAGAAGGCAACTTTTCGGCCACCTAACTAAAATCTGCCGCTTTTCAGGTGGCAGAAAAGTAAAAAAGTCGAAACATTTGCAGTACAAAAATGTATTTCGTCCGTCCTCCGTAGAATTTAGCCTTCTTTCATTGTTTCTTCAAAATAACAGCTTGCCAGAAAGAGTAATTTTACAGGGAGTTATTCCCCCTATCTCTAAACCAAGTATATCGCGCTTTCCAACAATAATAAGTCAGTAGCTTTTTGGATAGCTGCTCATACGGCATATCGCGTGAGCGCTAGCATTGTAAACGGCGATCAGATGCAGTTGCATTTATTTTAACTATGTGAACTTGTGAACTTCGCACTTACCTTTGTGCTCAGCCCGCGTACGCTTACGCATCGCCGGTGCCATATGAAAATCAGACTCGTATGAAAATCGGACTCTTTTCCCCTTTTATTGGTTAAACCCTTTCACGTGACCGGTCCCTCTCCTAATTATCCATGCATAAGCATGCGCGATACCACCAATGAGTCCGTATTTCATAAAACCTAAATTCATGCTAGACACCGGTCACGGTCTCATTTCTCCGGCGTGCTAGCTTCTCCGGGTTGATTCGGCGGATAATTGAGCACGTTACAGTGCACGTTACATGAGCACGATTCATGCTCATGTGTCCGCTGTGCTTACTTTTCCTCGGGCTGTTTTATGAAGTCTACCAAGCCCATTACATGTAATAACACAGTGAGGGATACCCAAGAATGTGTTATGTAACACTTCCTGTGGGTCAAGTCATTCCATGGTCTTGCAAGCATTCTGATTTGTGTTCCCAGCGTAATGCATGTGCAGTGTGTTCCTTGCTCGTTCGTGGTCCATTTTGTCCTTATTTTTGCAACCACGGCTTAAAATAAATGTGCATTTCAACTCTTTAATTTTGGGAGTTAATAGTGCGCGCCACGAAAATTCTATGCATACAAATATCTTACGTACACAAGTATACAGACCCGAAGAACTCAGCACACAAATAAAGTTGACGAAAATGTACACCACTGCGCAATTTTGTGCATGCGCGTTGAAGCGAAATTTCCCTTTCGGAGAAGCTAGCACGCCGGAGAAGTGAGACCGTGACACCGGAACCGCGGCGGCCCTAGTGGCCCTGCAGCATGAACATGTACACAGCAGTACATACATGTACAGACACGATCCGGTCGTCATTATATTTTGTGTTGGTACATTAAACTGGGGTCACATTCAGCTCTATCTATATTCAGCGCAGTGGGAGACAAGATATTGAGCAGATAATTCGCTATTTTCGGGCTAATTCTGTAAAGGTGAGTACGTAGGCCTACCTGAAGAAAATTGAGACGTTCAGGGTTTTAAATTAATTGGTAATTGAACGCGTAAATCATCCGCATATTTAGGCCTAGTAGTACTAGTACGTAGTAGGCCTATTAGGTAAAAAATGTTGCAACCTGACGCTACTTCGCTTCGGCGATTGTGTACAAAGTGTATGGAGAGTCAAGACCATTTTCTATGTATTTCCTAACAGAATTGGAATTGTTTCTCAGTCCCAGATTCATGTCTTATCGTCATTTTTGCAGTGACTGACCTCCATTGGGATGATGAAGAAAAAAGCAGCATCAGGTTGCAATTAACATTCTTCCCATTCTGAGGGCTAAGCATTGGCTGATCCAGTAAATTAGGTTAAAACATATAATAGTTCTGCTTCCGGTCTCCCTACCTAGCCCCTACCCTTTTTTATGGGAAAAATGAGGAAAAACACCCAAAAACTATTAATTTCTACCTTCATGACCTTTAACCCTTGACTACACGCACCGCCTCCATGATCGTACACAAAATAAATTGGCCAAAAAAAACAATAATAATAATATTAATTCCCTATACCTACCTACCCTATTTTTGAATGCCATGTAATCGGAAGCACAGCTATTTTCTTTGGCCTTAAAAGGCACCGTACGTCTGGTGCCTTAATTCTAAAACGGTGGCTAATGGAAAATCTAGCTGACTAACGGTGACACTACTCTCATCAAAAAGGGTCATGAAATGTTCTGTTGTAGAGGCGATAAACTATGGAACGACTTGCAAACTTTAGTCAGAAACCAACCAGACAAAGCAGAGTATTCCAAGTAGGCCTATTTTAAAAGTTTTATCTCCATTTTTGTTTGGCAGTGGTTGTGTGTGAAATTGGTTTTGGGTTGATATGTATGGGAGGTCGTTTGTCAATTAATTAAGCGCATTTTGTACATATTTTTGGCATGGTTTATAACAATTAGATGTAAACCATAGAAATGTTGCCCAAAATTATTTTTATGGTTTACATACCAGTAAAGTATTTTTTGTGCACTTTTAATACTGTTTGTAAACTATGAGTTACACTTGCCTATACAGTGTGAGTAAAAAAAAATCACCATACACTTTTGGCCATAGTTTCATTCTGCAGCAATATAGATAAGATATTTGCATATGTACTTTTAGAGTAACTCTTCCTGCTTCTTTTGGTGACATTTTCACTGGATTAGTTTTCATGCATGACTGCACAGGAGACAATTAAAGGGGTCGGGTGAAATCTGACTTGCGCCAACTGGTCAGGGCTGGAGTTTTCACTCGTATGTATCCTCACACAACATATCTCAGCTGTATCAATCAAGCCATGCATCTTTAAAGTGTCTTTAGTATTAATAATGTACCATTTTGAACCCTACATGTACATGTAGATGAAATAAAGTGATTTGTTTTTTATCACTGATTCAATACAATTTATTAAAAAGCATAAATTTATCAATTTATTGAGTTTTGTGGATGATTTTGTGGAATAGGCTCTTTAAACTCCTTAATGATGGTTGTAAGAATTGCATGGGGAGTTTTAGACACATTTTAGACAGATATTTTGAAAGTAAAAAAAGATCACAAATATCTGATTTAAATAAAAACAAATCTGATTTAAATCAAATCCGATTTTTTTTTAATACAAGCTAAAAAAAGCCAACCCTGGAATCCCGCCTCCTGAATTAAAGATCACAAGGATTACGTTTGACCACAAGCAGCATGTTGCAAAATGGCAGTTGTACAAAATACGTTAAGGAGAATACATGAGAAAGTGTGGATTCGTAATTTAAGAATTCACGAGGCGCGAAGCCCCATTGCAAGTGAATTCGTAAATTAAGAATCCACACTTTCTCGTGTATTCTTCGACTTAAACCATTGCGTCAAAAGAAGTATTGTCATTAAAGTCCAGTGAGAGGAGATGAAAAGACTTGCACATCTCGTGTCGAGTCTAGGCAATTGGGCAATTTACAAGGGAGTTTTCGAGGTTCTTATTCGTAATCAAGCATTGTGGCGTGTTCAGCATACATCGCCACACCCGTACAACCAAGTCATTTTGTGTGTAGGTTCCTTCTTTCAACATGGATAGTTCAGACGACGATTTCTTTCTGAAATGTTTCCGCATTGACGGCGGAGAATCTGACAGTATGCAAATTGGTAATTTTCGGAAAAAAAGTTTTCACGCAGACGATCTTATTAATGCTCATTATCATGATTATGGAGAACAATAATTATTGTCGGACCTGTTCAAAGTGTGGATTTGTAATTCCGAATCCACACTTTACTAAAGATTCGTAATTCCGAATTCACACTTTTAACAACAGTGTGACGTCATAGCAGTGGTTTAATACATTAACACTGGTAAATTCAATCACTTGCCATCATTTCAAACAAGGTCATTCTGACTTTTCCCGCACTTAACAACAAGATTCAGATTTACATAAACTTAACTCATTTGCCCAAAATGTGTTTGTTTTTGCAGATTTCCGCCGTACGCTCTGGTTGTTTTAAAAAAACAACCGACGATGTTTTCCGACGAGATCCATACAGAGGAGCAGATTAATAACCTGAAACGTCATGAGTACACACGCACAGGCCGCACGTTGGTGGAGCCCTTTATGGAACCATATTGGTGGTGGCCCGTGGCCGACTTGGTTCCAAGGACCATCAATGCTAACGTTATATCAGTCTTTGGTGTGATTCTTAACATCATCAGCACAGTGGTACTCATGTACTATGCTCCGACAGCAACTGAAGAGGTAATTCTAATGTCCTTCAATGTAAAGGGCCAAGGCAATAAAAAAATTGAAAATGCAATCCTTGAAAATACACCTTTGTGTCCCACTTAAAGGGAGTAGGCCTATATATTATACAACATTTGCTTTTGCCGTAATTTTCAGAAATGGATGGAATTGGGGGGTTAGTGGTTTATAGCAAATATCGTTACACTGACTTGCAAACAGAATGCTGGGATACTCTGAGAGTCTCTGATGAGCTTCACAGAATCTTATGAAGGAAGTGGCCAATGACCTATGTATAAAGCTGTTCAAGACCGCAGTTAGACAATGTGCGCAAATGCTATCCGAAAACTTGCCATAGAAATGCTCATGTTCCATACCGGATGTGATTTCTGTTTCATTGCGGACCATGTGGAAATTTTTTTGAGCGTTGCATAATGCAATCCGACCGTTCGTGATTCGAAACGGAGCCTGAGCATGTGACGGGAATTGTAAATTTACAACACAGATAAGTTTTACAGAATTTCCTACATTATTACGCTTTTCAACGAAAAAAACACATCTGTCTTAACGGCCGTTTCAAACCTTGCAGAGTCATGACCGTGATGACGCGCAGGTCACAGGTCACGCAAAATCCAACCAATCAGAGCGTGAATTCATCAGAGTATCCAAGCGTCCTGTTTGCAGGGTGGGGGGGGGGGTATGAGTGAACAGCCAGGGAATTAACCTATGTGCTAGAATCGCGTCGGCGCTGCTTGGAAAAAGAAAGATTCTCATGTATACAATTATTGTGTGTGTGTGAAGTTTAATCTGTTTATGAAAGATAGACACAACTTGTTTATAGGGGCATCATGACTACCCCTCCCCCATTTTACTATGGCTGCCACGCCCCTAAAAGGGTGTGATTGCAATGGCTCCACAGCTGAATTTTTTTCTCCTGAATATTAACGTCTGTGGGAATTAGCTTCATTTGTTTATGAGATGTGGGCACATTTTTCCCATGGTGGGATTTCAATAAAATACGTACAGACATGCATGCTGTATTAAATAATACATAGCCGTACTGATATTTTTACTGATCGATATTTGCAATGGCTAGTAAAAAAGCACAGCGAATAATTTACAACTGATGAAAACATTGTCGCTGCGTTTATCAGTATATCATGTAATTATGATAAAAGTAAATAGGCCTATCTAACCATATCGCTTAGCATTTGAAAGTATAAACCATACTGTTCAAGATAATCAAATTTTTATTGTATAGCATGTTCCTGAAAATTGGGAATTTTTTTAGTTGAAAAATGGTAATATAAACATGAAAAATCCTGATTTCCTATGGAGGTCAACACGTTTTCTGGCCGTTTTCCGGGGGGTTCGGTCACTTAATCGAACAGTTTTGTTTATCGCACCAAGCCATATCGCAGGGCAGAATAACTGTACGAAATGCTCTTTCCAACAATAAAAGAATATTTTTAATTAGAGGAGGGCGAAGGAGGGTTTTTTCCTAATCCAATCACAGCACTCATCTCTTTCCAGAGAACATTTGTGGTAATTTAAGTAGGATTGTACCATACACGAAAGGGATCTAAAATACAGTCTTTCAATTTATTGTTGTTTTCAACAGGGATAAACCCATTCCAGAGTTTTTTTTTACGTTTCTGTACATCTCTAACCAATGTATTAATAATATTGTACAGGAAAAGCAGTGAGTGTCAAAATACTTGACAAATATACTTGACAAAATACAATGGACGCATCCATGCATGACCCTTCGTACTTGTGGCACATGTCGCGCTATAGCTAGACCTAGCTATGAGCTATGATTATGCGCTGCCTTTGTCAAACTGACCTGGCTTCTCACTGAATAAAGATCAAATAGTATGCAGAAGTCTGCTGACAGTTTTTATTGCCCTCCACGCTGCTTTTTTTCCGCCACTGCAGGCTCCACGCTGGGCGTACGCACTGGCTGGCGTGAACATCTTTCTCTTCCAAACCTGTGACTCCGTAGACGGGCGGCAGTGTTTGAGGCACAAGACAAAGCTGAATTGGCATCTGCAGCTTGCTGAACTATTCGACCATGCTTGCGACTCGATCACCAAAGGTAATTATAAAGGGCTGTTTCCTTAAGTTCCCTGCATACTTTTGTCATCACTCCAACGGCAGATCCGTGGGGGAGGGGGGGGGGGGGGCGCCACAGGCAAAAGTGCTCTCTCAAGTGAAAAACAACTTTCTTCGGTCATTGCTGGGTTGACGAGCACCCTCTCTGCACCCCCTGGATCAGTGACTGCACTCAATCTTGCAAGTCTTGATTCTCTGTTTCTGGCTTTTGGTCTGTTATGTGTTGACTGTGATACCCTATCCACCCCACCCCTCTCTCTGAAGTTTTAACTTGCGACGGTCTCCCATACTAATCCCTGCCCCCAATAACTTTGGATCATTCGAAATACGCAGTGGATGGACCGGGAAACCAGTCTAGGTCTCCCCCAGCTCTCCCTTTCTGACCGTTGACGAAGGGGTACTTGTGCACAGAGCCCATACCAGCCATCGTGTACTTGTTCTACATTACCCCGAGGACAGACACACAAAGGAGAACAACATATAATTTTAGTCCTCGGGAGTTGGGTCTTTTATTCAAAACGGTCCTCTGTAGTAAGTTTGTGTGCTCAGTCTATGGGAGAGTGTTAAATTACAGGGACAAGGGAAAACACAAAGCATTTTCCTCGGAAGTATAACAAAACAAGAAGTATGTACTTTTTTATTTGCAGTGTGTGTCACCATTGAGTTTGGTATCTGCATGAAGATAGGCGGTCGGCCGGATCTCTTTGTACCGTTTATGCTGACGGCAATGTTCATGTTTTTCACGGCACACTGGCAGACCTACATCTCTGGATTGGTGCGATTTACCACGTAAGTTTCCCAGTTACCATTCCGAAGGAATCAATATACGATTTTGCCCGGTAAAGGCCTTTACCGACATATTTCATAAACACTGTATACTCAGTGGCATTTCAGTTCGTCACCACCTAAAGGGCCCATGAAATGTAATTTTGTTTAATGCAATCCCAGAAAATGCACCTTTGTGTCCCTTTAATCTTATTTTCAATTTTCAATTTACCGTGTTTCAAGGGTATTTTGGCGCCATTTTGGTTTATATGCTATTGCGAATTTCCATGTTCATAATCAAAAGTGCGATGTCATATCAGTGTTGCAATTAGTTTATGCACGAAAGTTGCCAACATTTTGAATATTTCGCTGAATACTTTCTTTTCATTAGTGATTCGTTGCTGTGTCTGTTCATGGCAGAAAGCTAATGAGCAAACTTTTCTCACAAATGTTTTGAATGAGCATTATTTTGGGTTCACTATTTCAATAGAAACACACCTGATATGAACAGTGTCTCCCTGAAATGACATCACGACAACATTGCTCTCAGTTTTCCGGAAAAGCTTGGAAATTTTTAAACATTGAAAGAAGTGCACTTTTCAACAAAATTAACCAAAAAGTAATATCACTTAGTTTTCATACGCTTAAAAAGAATTAGAAAGTAGCACAAACTATGTCCCTAAGAAATATTCACTTCATGAGCCCTTTAAGCCCCAAGTAAATTGCGTTCAGGTGACTGGAGCTATATTCACACGTGCTCTGCGCTCCAAGCGCATGCGCAAAAACGGTGTGGGCCTGCTGTTTTGTTTTTCACTTGTTTTTCTCCGATTTTTGTTTCTGAAAGGTTCTACAAGGCGTTTTCCTGTAAAAAGTTATTATGACATACATGTACAGTCGTGTGTAGAGCGACGTATTTATAGAGTGCCGTAGCCTCGTGGTCTGGAGCATTGAACTTGTGGTCTGCGGGTAATTCTGCAGGTTGTGGGTTCGAGTCCAGCCTGGGGTTATGGTGCTTGTGCCCTTTGGCAAGGCACTTTGTCACTCATTGCTTTTTCCCACCCAGGAGTAAATGGGTACCTTTGAAGCACCATCTCTACCCTCACAATAAAAGTGTGACTGATTTTTAGTTGCTTTTTGTGCCGAAATGGCAGCATCGAGCAGTGTATACTCCCCATGGAGCTGAGATTGTCTTTGGAATGTTTCATTGGCCCAATGAGCAGGGTAATAATGATGTAGCGCCTTGAGCACCAGTCCTGGTGGAAACGTGCACTTTATAAATATCCACTATTATTATTATTATTATTATTAATTAAATCTGGATGGAGAGACAAAGCGAAGACAACCTTGTGGTGCCACACAGGGAAAAGTTACTCTAACATCCTTTATGAAGACTTTGCAGTGATTTTTACCGACCAGATTATCAATCGGCATTGCGAAATGACTCCCGCTCACCAGCACAACATTGTCAGTCCGGGGTTTTCCTCCCGCCTCTAAAAATAATTCTTCATTGTCTTCTTTGTTCAGATAACCTCAAGCTTCCGAGCTACAGCATCCCTACACTTTTGAGGAATCCTTGCTCTCCCCCATAAACCGACAGAATTACATATTTATTACAGAATTACAGAATTGTGTTTGGTTCATTTGGTTTCGTTTCTGACAGGTTTGATGTACTTGAGGCTCAGCAGGCTCTGTGCTTTGGCTATCTGGCTACAGCCGTCATGGGCCCACATATCTGGGCCAAAAAGGTTTCATAACAATTATCAGCCCAAAATGAACAAATATCATCGTTCAGCATGCTAAAAATTGTTTGTGCTTTTAAACCGCTGTTGGCATCTGTATTAGATCGCTGGTGTAAACAGTTTCATGCCATAAAATGTTTTATATGCCACTGGTCCTATACATGAGACTTGTAGGTTTGCATGATGGACGTGAACAAAGTATGGAAGGTTTACGGTAACACCATGTGAGTTTTATCTCTTTTGAGTTGTGTGGTTCTGAGAAGAACCAGCTGTTTTTAAATCGATGTTCGTCGTCAGGAGACACTGATGACGAACAGAGCACACCATCATCCGTAAGTGCTTCTAGCAGCTTTCCGAGATAGGGCCTGTAAACTCGGAAACAATACGGTACTTCTAGTGGTACACTCTTATCTTGTTAATCCCTTTGTCAACAAACTGGCCCCTGTTATCAGATACTGCTGCTAATCCCCTGTACTTGTCAATATCAGCTGTGTGACAGCACATGTGGCTTGATTACACTAAGTGTTAGGAGTATAAAGCCACTGTTTGGACAAAGGATTAAGATAGATCAGAGGTCTGGCCAGTTTACACTAAGATTGACTGTTTTCTCTCAGAAGTTTCTAGTGGCGGTTACTCGCAAAGCTGTTCGAAGTGTCAGTTGAAAACAACTGGTTCTCAGAGCCACAGAACTCAAAACAGATAAAATTTCACATGGGTGTTACCGCAGACCTTCCATATTTTGGTCCTGTAAAGATCTCAACAGATTGCAACTGTGGAATTAAGGGAGATACTAACAAACTCCAAGTGGACTTTTGCTATAAGTCCTCTATTGCGTGATTGTGCATCAAAAGCTAGCTATCTGATGATAAAAAAGACTACTGTTTTTGAAGTAGATGAACCTGGATTGCAGACACCATTTGTGTTTGTATGTAACCTTATATGGTCACAAAAGTTCATGGATGATGTACTGTCGTTTTCATTAGAAAACAAATCGCCAAAATAAAAAAAACACCAACAATCGCTGGAGGTCATTAATACACTTCTGACATTGGAAAAAAGGTGATACTTATAAACTTCGAATGGACATTTGTACAAGTCCTTGATTGCCTGATTGCGCATGTAATATAAACTGCCTATTGACAAATCTAACAACCACAAGTAGAGGGCAATTATGAGGTACTTTAACACTACCGCACATATCACATGCGCAGACTTTACGCTCATTCAACCAATGGCCCATAGACAAATTTTGAAATGACGTCCCCATGTCCACACCTCACTCTGATAATAAAGCACACTTGTAAGCAACGCTTGATGTCATTACATATTTTATGACGTCATCATTGAATTGCATTTGGTCAGTGCCTTCGCACCGAATACGTACGTAGTAATTTTCACTTGCTGCGCTGCCACTCAATGATGATGTAACAATCAAGACGCAGTCGCTGTGACGTCATGAAAAATTCGGTCAAAAAAGGAGGAGTGATCATGAAATTGACAATTGATTTTTGAATTATGGACTGAAGGCGTGCACATTACGCATGTCTTTGACATAGTGCACTTTGTCCAATTGGTCCAGTGACGTAATACGCACATCCTCTTAGAAGTTAAAAGAAAAGAGTGCGTGTTATAATATGTGCGTGAGCACAAACATACATACACATTTTCTAAAAGCGCTCGCCAGTTAAGTCTATGAAGCAAGGAAAATGAAGTTCATTTGATGTTGACTTTCGTTATTTTTCTTTATCTTCCTAAGGCATTTGCGTTGGAGTGGAGGGAGCTGATAATAATTGCAACAGCGATGTCGAGCATTTTAAAGTTTTTCAACCAAGCTGCCTTTGTTTGGGGACGGGGCCACCGTGTCACAATTGCTGTAAGTGATTTCGAAAATTCATTTGGGTTCCAAACAAAAAATGTTTTGTTGTAGGCCTTCTTGAAACACACCTTGTGAAGTGGCTACCAGAAAAATAAAAGTCGTCCATCACTATTCTACTGTGCTCCTCTTACCCATAAAGCATCACTACATATGCATTATTCCCCGGAGAGCGCTTACCATTCGCTAAGATTTATTTCCCACAGTACCTTGTGGCCCGCCAGCCATTATACTTCCTCTTTTCTCAGAGAGTGCTTTCTTGAGCTCTTGAGTTTGCTCATATTTGCTGATCATGTAACCTCTTTCTCCTGCCATCCCTTTGACATAAGTTCATGATTTCATTTTGCTATTCAAAGTACCATCTCTTTTGTATCATGTGTAAGTGCTCAGTCTAGCAGCTTTCTGAGTAAGGGCCTGCAAACTACGAAAGAATACAGTACATGTACTTCTAGTGGTACACTCTTATCTTGTTAATCCCTTTGTCAACAAACTGGCCCCTGTTATCAGATACTGCTGCTAATCCCCTGCACTTGTCAATATCAGCTGTGTGACAGCACATGTGGCTTTATTAAACTAAGTGTTAGGGATGATAAAGCCACCGTTTGGACAAAGGATTAAGATAGATTGAGAGGGCTGGCCAGTTTACAGTTTGATTCCCAACGGGTCTTGCGAATCGCACATGCTCCCACATACCTCTACAGCTTTTAAACTTTTTTTTACACCAGAAATGTGCGGACTCATGACGTTTCACTACTGAGATAACATGATCCTCCACCATACTACTGTCAGCCTTTGGCAAAATAGTATTATCCCATCCACCAATTATAAGGTGGATCAGAGGCAATGCTGCTTGGAGCTCATCATCTTAATGACAGACGCTCAGGCTTCTTTGATGCCATTAATCTGACTAGACAATTCTAGGGTTCCTGCTCTAGTGGTACTCGGTTGTGCCAAAACACATCTTTGAACTCTCCATGTTCAGTTTGTTTGAGTGGGTCTTCTCACGATGTTATCACTTTTTACTGCCATTGAAATGTCTGTATGATGGAATGCATCGATAATAGGAGTCAAATTCGGTTTCTTGCATCTCCATTGTCCTGGTTATGCCACTGTACAAAGGACTCCTCTTTTTATGAGGAAACTGTGTAAAGATATTGATTGACTAGATGACGTCTCACTTATTTTGAGCTGACTTATTTGAAAATCTCGGAATTTGTTTTTGTTTCAGGGCACTAGTTTGTTTGGACCATCACTGCATATCGCCACAGCCTTTCTGCTTACAATTGTCACCAAGGTCATGACCAATCTGTATGAGCGTCAACCCTGTGTCTTCCTGATCATCTTTGGACTGATTGAGGCCAAGATGTCCAACCAGTTCATGGTAAGTATGTTGTTGCTTTTGGTGAGGGAAATTAGCCCTTTGAAAAGACAATCGGGAAAATTTGAAACTGAGCAGTAGTGGGTGTGTCACATCAAGGGGTTACATGTACATCATTACATCAAAGGGTGGAAAACAAGCTCAATTGTATGGCTACTTTACCATTTAAAGGGAAGATACAACATTTGCAAACATCAAAAAACAAAATGACCAAATTATCGCGAAATACCTACTGGATTGTTAGAGAATGATAGTCCAAAGCATCCTGTAAAATCGTAGCTCTTGATGTGTTACAATTCTCCAAAGTCTAAAATTGCTCCGTTTCATCTTAAGTTGGGCCAGGGAGCCAGACTACAAGAACATGATTGGTTTTCTTGGTTTTTCAAGCATCTACAAGCCCAAAAGTGAAACAAGTCAGTTTAACAATATTTTCTATAACAAACTAATCCTTCAAATCCATTTAAGTCGAAAAATTGCAGCAAAAGCAAATGTTGTACTTTCCCTTGAAATAATTGGAACAGCACAGTTGGTTATGGGTGTCGCCAGGAATTTTAGACTTTCCCATACATTTGTACACATTTTTTAAAGTTTCCCCCTATTTTTTTGTTTTGCTTTTCTGTGGGGAAATTGGAAGGGGAGGGGCAGCGCAAGTGCCCTTCCTCCCACATCGTCCCCTGGTATCTGCTATCATCTTAATAAGCATATACATGTATGCACACTGTGTAATTGCAGACTGCCTACATGTACAAGTCCAAGGTGAAGCTTCTTGATAGCACACTTCTCGGTCCGCTGATTCTGTGTGTAAACCATCTACTGAATGAACCTATCCAGGGATACGCTCTGCTCTGGATAGTCATGGTAAGTCTAAATCATTGATCTCTATATAAAGACTGGATAGCGGATAAAGAGCCGCACAATGAATGAATTTGACGCCATATTGGTGAGACCGGTGAGATCGGCTGGTGATCTACAAAGGACAAGTTTTGTAACATCGCGGTTCACTTGATTTTTATTATGACCACCACCACTGACCACGGTTTACAATTTTTCTAACGTTGTGGTTTCCTTTTTTTTAATGCCGCAGTTCCTTTTTTTGCGTTTTGGAAATAATGATCACTGCGGAAATGTGTCCTTTTTAAAACATCACAATACGTTTACGTGACCAAAATGGGCGTCAACTCTTGATACAGCGCGCGTTGTATATACGCGTGGAACGTTCGTATTATACGCGGCCATCTTCGTGAGACCGGGGGCGAATTGGTCAATTTGCAAAGTCTACTGTGTGAATGGTGTATGGATATCTGCTATCCAGTCTTTATATAGAGATCAGTGGTCTTAATACTTCTCAACTTAAAGCTATAGTCCATCATTTGTAATTTGTGCATTTTGTTCGCTTGAAGCAACAAAAGAGTTCAAAATCTAATGAAGGATACTGAACAACTAACCTGATGAAGTTTCAGCTAAGTTTCAGCTGTACATTCCGAGAAAAAACAGCATTCTAAGATCTCAATTTCAAATCAAAAGTTAGTGAATCATGTTTTGAATTGTTTTGAATTGCAGCTATACGCGACGTAGCGCACTGATCCGACGAATTATAACAACCGCGTGCGCGTGTGCGTCGTTCCAATACTTATGCGCGCTGCGCTGAATAACAAACGAACTACTAATTTAAATTTTCCTACGGTGCTTCTTAAGAATCACCGTTGGAAATGCATTCTTTCGTTGATTACTTCAAAATGACAACTTCCCAGAAAGAATAATTTCACAGGGAGTTTAGTTCCCTCACTATCTTTCAACCAAGTTTGTTTTTCAATAATAATTACGCCAGTTACTTTTCGGATGGCTGCAAATGATGGACTAAAGCTTTAAAGGTCGACAAAGGTTGACTTCCAGTAAGTCTTAGACTTCATGTGTATTCGTTGTTAATGAATTAGCATAACTAAACACACCTCCGATATGGCTGCTGAATGCAGTGGATCTATTTAGCACTTATACTATGGTTCTGTGCGCAGGTGTACTGCGCAGCGGATTGGCTGTTGTACTTTAGACGTGTCAGTCTGGGGATGTGCCGCCTGTTGCAAGTCACATGCTTTGGATCGTACAAATTTGAAGATTAATAAATCAATTAGGTAAGTAATAATATACAGGGTGAGTCAAAGAAAGAAAAGAAAAGAAGGAAAACCAAGTGGCGCCCCCTATATTTTTTGAAGAAGTTTTACATGTAGCGCGTTCAAGATCTAGGATGTGAAAGCCCAATTAACCTAACGTCGTAAGGGCTCTTGGGGGTCAAGGACCAAATACTACAAATGTGTTGTGAACACTTGAATGGAAAGAAATGCATACGACAGGTTACTACTCAGTAGTATTTTGTAGCTTAGGTCAATAGGGTTAATGCTTTCTTTTTAAAACGATCATTCAAATCACTGATGTACTTTTCCAGTTATGGACTTCTAAACACAAACACGGTTTTATAATTTTGTCCACAGATCAAAATAAAGGCACGTGACATTTTAGCAAATCAAAAAAGCTCGCGTATCAAAAAAAAACCCACATCAGAACTATCTCATAACCATGAGAACTGGCACTTAACCTTTATTTAAACACCTCTACTTCCACTGTTAAAACAACATGCTTTATAATGTCAAGAGTGTATACTCTAGCCTTGCCTTCTACTTGGCTGCCTGAGACTTATTGGTTTATTCTGATATCCTTTTCATGATGGGACATGGTTTCATTTTATATCACGTATTCAATGAAATGTGAATCGTGAAAAAAATTCTTAAAATTGTGTCCAAAATTCCATAGCTGGAAAAGAACATGAGTGATTTGAATGATGTTTTCACTAAAAGAAGGCTTATTAATTGGGCCTTCACATTCTAGATATGGAAAGCGTTACATGCAAAATTATGCTTAAAATAGGGGGCGCCATTTGGGTTTCCTTCTTTTTGAGTCACTCTGTATGTGGACTCAAAGTATGGCCCCACTAGAAAAAATAGAGGGATTCCCTTACAAAAATGTCCCATGGCAACTTCCATAGGGTATTGTGACTTGGGATTTTTCCCATGGATTCCCAAGGAGAAAATTGACAACATGCAATTCATGGTGTACATTCCCATGGGTTTTCCATGGTGCCTTAATGCCTTTTCGCCATGGTGGTGTCCCATGTTTCCCATGGTGATTCATCCCAAAAGAATTCCACTTTGTTCCCATCGATATTTCCAAAGCAATTTTCTTACAAGATTTTTACGTTTATATTTTTATGTAAAATAATTTATGCTGTGCACCCCATAGGCCTTATGGGGATTGTCCCATTAACCCTATACAGAGTGTCTTGATCACTCCATGGCCAATGCCTACAATGTACATATTGCGCCTATACCACTTTTCAAGTTCTACCATATTATCACCATTTTCCTTATTTATATTTTTCATAAATGATTCCAATCATTACAACTGAATCAAAATTATTATCCATAGTTCTTGTTCTCATTTCCACAAAAAACACTGTAGGTTTCATTTGCCTTCACTTACGAGCAGAGCATTTAAACAAATTGCAATTAGAACACTCATAATTCTTACACAATGTGCCATGGTGTTCCCATGGTGTTTATCCCCATGGTGTTTATCCCAATGGTGTTTATCCCCATGGTGTTCCATTTGTGTCCATCAAATCCGCAAAATGTTCTTATGGTGGCCATGGTGTTCCTATGAGTTTCCCATGGTTAGCATAAAAAAGGGATTTCTTGATAACCCATGGAAACCCATAGAATCCCCATGGTATCGTAAGGGTCTTCCATTGCTTTATTTGCTACACCCCAATTGCTCTTTCAACACTCGTACAGGCAAATCGGACAAAAGTGTGCCCATTGGGAGTGCAAGTTGGTGTAATTGTGTTCCCATGATATTCAGAATGGTCCCATGGTGTTCCCATGGTGTTTATTATATCCCCATGGTGTTCCCATGCTGTCTTTTTTTTTTATCCCCATCGTGTCCCCATGGTGTCAATAAAATCCCCAAGGTGTTCCCATATCAGTGGTATCCATAAAATCCTTTTGGTGTCCCTGTGGTGTCTATAAAATCCCATGGTGTTCCCATGGTGTCCATACAATCACCATGGTGTCCCCAAATTGTACATAACATCCTCATGCTCGGTAGGCGCGGTGTTGCTAGGGACCAGTAAACTGGCCTAGTGTTTTGTGTGTCTTATAAGTTTTGCGACACTAGAGAAAGAAACTGACATGTAATGGCCTGAGCTCGGTAGCCGCGGTGTCCCTAGGGACCAGCATATCAAATTCGGTTGAGAATGATGACTGAACTTACAGTGAGGTCTAACCAAAATGGATCACACATGCATTAATACACGCGCGATATTTGCCTGCAATCGGGGACCCCCTATTGTCCCTCTTTAGTTTGTACTCTTTAGGAAGACCTCCCATATGTTTTATACATGATTCTAAATTGGGGACCCGTCGGGAATTGGGGACCCTATTGTCCTCTTTTGTTCATCGTCCCCTATTGAATGCAGAAACAAACTCACGGTTACATATGCACATCCAGCTGTGTAATAACACCGGCAATCGTGGACCCCCATTGTCCCTAATCCTCATTCCTTTGTTTGTACTAGCAACAGCTCTCAATGGTTTTGTACACGATTTTCAATCGTGGACGTTCGGTCAATCGTGGACGTATTGTTTGTGCCCAATCCTGTTGTCCTAGGTCCACGATTGCCGGTGTTTACATACTCATGGACACACAGAAGGAATGTGCGATTGCAATATCCCCGTCTGGCTTGAAAGCCAGCGGGATAAAAACAAAATTATCAGTTCGAATAGAAAACAAATTTCAGAAGAGTTGGAGGTCCTGCTATCTTCAAAACCATACATCCTATGACTTCGATACGTTGATGACCACACTTTCTCTTCTTTATCAAAGGTATTACTGAACAGCAACAAACAAGTTGGAAGCAAAAATGTTTGGAAGTGGCGGCGAGAGAGATGCTCTTTAGGAGAGCAAACACTGTGGCATTCTTAAACAGCAAGGCAACCCTTATTTTATTGGGTTTCAAAACTTTTTTCGAATCTATGTTGTTTTTCATGTAACAGGTGATGGGATTATATTTTTGTAGTATGGATAAAAGCCTACTCGAAACATCAAGAACCACATGATCGCACATTGCCAAAAGTATTAGTGCCATTTATTGAATAAAACAAAGTTGCAGTAGTGTATTTGCCACATGGTCCATCGAAAATATTGGTTGAATAGCACCAGATTGTTGTGGCGTTGTTTGATATAAATGTGGAGGTGTGGGAACAATTCGTAACATTACATTCATATATTTGCCAATTGGTGTTTCGAAAGTATTTTTGAAAAGCACCCGTGTATCCGTCATGTGCAGGTATGGGGAACAATTCGTAACATTACATTCATGTAATTTTTTTTAGTAACACGTACTACTGTATGTGGTTTCGTAATATATAGATGTGCAGGTATGGGGAGCGATTTGTGTTGCTTCATCATGTGTAAATTTGCCGATTGGTCTACCACAAGAGTGGTTTCATTTGATATAGATGTGCAGGTATGGGGAGCAATTCGTAATATTACATCAGTTGTATTTGCCAATTGGTCGACCAAAAGTGTTTTTTGAATAGCACCAGACTATTGTGATTTCGTTTGTGCACGCAGGTATAAGGAGCAGCTCGTTACATTGGGCGAGTGCGGGAATGGTTTGTGCACCACGAAGTGACGTATCGTGGATAGTTGCCAAACCAAAAAGTGACGTGATGTATGCAAACAACCCAAAGACGACCCGTGATGCGGCAAAACTATCGTATTCGTCACTTCGTGCACCAAACGATACAAATTAATTTATTTGCACTGTAGGTAAGATTTAAGGCTGTTGTACTTAAGTTGAAAGGCACAAGGTATAGATATTTTGCATTGAAGCCATTTGAGGTGAGTGTTTTCGTCCAAACAAGCGCGGATCCAGACGGGGGCACACCCGGCCCGTGCCCCCCCCCCCCCTTTTCGCAACTGTTTTTTTTTTTTTTTTTTTTTTTACGAGTCGTCTTAGGGCTGGCGGGCATTAAATACATTCCTTTGAGAACATGGCTGTCTTTTTCGTTTTTGAGGAGTCATTATGGCGGGCGGACGGGCGGTCATCAAATCAATCGCTTTGAACATAACTATCATACATAATTATAAACAAAAATATACAATGTATAAGTTTTGAAGGTAGCCTGTCAATCATTGTCTCAAAATTTATTTCAAAGCAAGAATGTATTTTTATAAGACACTTTTATTTCCCGGCTGGAATTGGGGGCACATTTAATACAGCACTTGCATTTAATGTTTCATGTCAAAATATATTCCAAAATATATTCTAGAGTAGAACATGTACCGGTACACGAAATAATGTAGGCCATGTGGGTTTTTTTAATAAATGAAGAATAAAATCGTCATCCCCTTTTTTATTTTCCCGACCTCAGAGAGAGATTTACGTCTGGTTCTCTAAATATTTTTTTTAAAAGCAAAATGATGAAAAAAAACCTAGCCCGTTAAAGTTTGCACTCTAAGTTAATTCTTTTGTAGATTCCAGGGGAAATTTAATACGAATTATGCTCGGTTTTTCTTATTCTTAAATGAATATATCAGGATTAACAACATCCCTCAAATAATAGCGTCAAAATATATTCCAAAATATATTCTAGAGTAAAACATTTTCACAAAATAATGTAGGCCATGCGTTTAATTTTTTAAATACACGAAGAATTAATCGTCATCCCTTTTATATTGTCCCGGTCTCAGATAGAGAGAGACATCAAATAAATAGGGGTTATTTTAATACGATTTAGTATGTCTTGTTCTCTCGATTTATTTTTAAAGTAAAACGATTTCAAACACCCTAGCCCATTAAGTTCTGAACTCTCAGTTAATTCTTTTGTGGATACCAGGGGAAATTTTAATACGAATTATGCTTAGTTTTTCCTAATTTTAAAAGGAATACGAATAAGATCATCAACAGCCCTTTGACTTCAAACTTAATTTCAAAATGTATTCCGAAATAATTATATTCTAGAGTAACATTTACAAGAATAATGTAGGCCATGCAGTTTTATTTTTTAAATAAGCGAAGAATAAAATCGTACTACGAAAAAAAGGCATCGGGAGCCCTACATTTAATGAATTATTTGGACTTGGAATATCATCCCCCAATCGTTTATTTATGTGCATGTAGGCCTACACAACACGGAGGTGAAATTTCACGTTCAATTCAGTTTCCCACATTTTTCGCATAAAGTTTTCCCCCTGTCTCTGAGAAAAAAATGCCCAAATAAAATGTCAGCTCCGAAAAGCCTTTCCAGAGAATGATTGATAGCCGCATTGTTCAAATTGATACAATGCCACTTTTGTTCGTTACAAAGCATATACATTTGGGCTCAGCTGTAGGCCACCGAACTTTAAGGCCTTTGAGAACTTGCCGTCAGTAATTGGAAGATTCTTAGATGATAAACAGTGATGATAGTATCTCAGCCAATGAAATGAGCCGGTTCCCGGCAAATAAATATGCCATTGGTTGCTTTCATCACGGACCGTCTGCTTTCATGAATATGACTTCCTTCCACGCGCAACTGGAGTGATTAGCTATCTGAGCCACAGGTGCATGGCTGCATGCCCGTCACATTCCAACCTGGTTGCTCGGAAATACTGTTGCTAGGAGGCTCCCCTGTGATGCCTGGGACTGCCGGTTGCGTAGCCAGAAATCTTTTATGTGACTATTTTGAAACCTTGTATGTGAAAGCGGCAGCTCAGGAATGCTGCCGCTTTCGGGAAATTTGTGCTGGCAAAGTTTTTTATATTTTGGAAATTGGAATTTGGATGCAGTTTGCATTTCCGTTAAATAAAAGCTGGTTTTTTTTGTTTTCTTTTTAAGAAAATCGGAGCCCCCCCCCCAAAAAAAATACAAATAAACGATTTTCCTCAGGCCTTGACATTTCTTGAAGTGATTCGACAACACTTGCAGAATGCAGACGATTCATTTCGTCTTAGATTATTTAGCCTGCAGACTTCAAAAGAACATGGAAAAAATGGTGGTTAAAGTGTATGCAAGTGTATATACAAATTAAGTATATATGACCGCAGTTACCACACATTATACTGGGACTCAAAATTGAAGCCAATCACATCCGCGCGAGCTCGATTTACACCATAAACAAACCCACACACCCACACACACACACAAACGGGATGATAATGGAGAAAATACGAATTGAACTAAAATCACCAATTACATTACATGGTAAAAGAAAGAAAATACCAGGAGAGGGGCAAAACGAAAAGGATATTATTAATGATGATGGAAGCAAAAAAAAAACCCCAAAAAAATGAAACGACAATAACATCAACCAAAATGGGGTGAGGTGGGGGTAGGGGCTGCTTGGGGCCAAGGGCGGATCGGGGGGGGGGGGGCAAAGGGGGCCATGCCCCCCCCAAAAAAAACGAAAGCAATTTTTTTGTTTTTATATGACATTGCAAAAAAGGCAGGCAATGAGTACACCACCATCTTTTCCTCCCAAAAAAAATTGGTTAAAGTGGTCAGAAATTGCCTCAGATCGCACCACAGACTCTGCATCTAGAATCCAAAAAGTTTTAGGGGCCCTTAAGCGGGCCCCGAACCCCACGCCGTAATTTTTTTGACCCACTTTTTGGGATGACCAAATTTGTTTTTGGCCCCCCCCCCCCAAAAAAAATTGTGTTCTGGATCCGCCCTTGCTTGGGGCAGGCTGTCCCCTAACGAAATTCAATTTATTTTATTTTCTTTGTTTGCAAGGCAAATTTCTGGGTAGAAATGTATGTTTTAATAGTAAACATGACTTTTTTTGGCTCGCTCGCTCCGCTCGCTCGCAAAATAACACATTTCATTTTTTTTTTCCACCCGGGGGCTGTCATCAGCACCTTCTAATTTTGGGGTTCCTTTTCAGCTAACATCAAAAGTGACTTTAAATTCTATATTTGATAGAAAAAAAAGTATTATTAAAATTAAAAAATAAACATTGTGAATTTTGATCTTAATGGCTTAAAATACTCATGATGTAGGAGAGAACATCTAAAATCGTAGAGCTTCCAGTGCCCTCAACCCTGCCTGCAAGGGATTTAAATTCGCGCTTCAGTCTCGTTATATGTGCAACGCGCACAAAGTTTTTGTGCCCCCCCTTTTTGAAAGTCCTGGATCCGCCCCTGCGTCCAAAAGTGAGGGCCCACAATTAGACCTGTTTTGCATTATTAAAGTAACAAAGAAAAATACCCTCCGATATGGCTGCTGAATGTAAATTTTGTATATTGTAGAATGTGAGAATAATCTGTTTTCAGATTGCAAGTGTGAATGTTTGGTTTAACTCAAATTTTCGAAAATCAAATGCTCAAGTAGTCACGATTTTATAGTAGTGGTAAGTGCATGGTGTAAATTCGTTTTAACATAGCTAAAGTAACAAATTGATCAAACTCTGATATGCGTGCCTTGTATTTGTCATTTACATTTTGGTTTTGTAAGTTTAAAGAAGAAAAGTGTGTTTACTTTAGCGTGTCGATCTAATTGTTTAGGACGTCTTTGTGGTGGAATTGTCCTATGTAGGCAGTTTTGAATTTGCATACTTTGTTACCACAATGGGTATTAAAAAGAGGGTGTAGTACATTTTAAATGGTTTATCCTGTATTTAACGTCTTAGTTCAGTATTTTAAATGTTTTGTTGTTGCCCTAATCATTTTAACAAATCTAAAAAAAATTCGTTTTAACATAGCTAAAGTAACAAATTGATCAAACTCTAATATGCGTGCCTTGTATTTGTCATTTACATTTTAGTTTTGTAGGTTTTAAGAAGAAAAGTGTGTTTACTTTAACGTGTCGATCTAATTGTTTAGGTCGTCTCTGTGGTGGAATTGTCCTATGTAGGCAGGTTTGAATTTGCATACTTTGTTACCACATGGGTATTAAAAAGAGGGTGTAGTACATTTTACATGGTTTATCCTGTATTTAACGTCTTAGTTTAGTGTTTAAATGTTTCGTTGTTGCCCTAATCATTTTAACAAATCTAAAAACAAACAAAAAACCAACAACAAAAAATTAAGCGGTCTGACGTTTCGAACTTTTTAAATCGCTTTTTTTTAGCCCGCCTGTCGGTCCCCCCCCCACCCCCCCCCCAAAAAAAAACCTAACTCGCTCATAAAACTGTAAGTACCAAATTGTAATTGCCCCCCCCCCCCAAAAAAAAAGCAAACAAATACATTAAATACTCGACAAAATTGTTTGTAACAATGCTTGGAGTTGTCACGTTGTATGTAATGCGCTAGGAATTTAGGGGCTTCTACACACCTGTAACTATGCATCACCCCTGCCTCTGGCCCTGTGTCAGGTTTACAAGTCTCTATGGCCTATAGGGGGTGAGGCCAAAAAAAGAGTTCTGCTTCGGATTACATGCCATTGGAAAATAGTGTAGGTAAGTAGGGAATTTTTTGGGGGGTGATTGGTTGCAAATTAAAACTTTGTCAGTACTTGTGACGACAATTACGTGTGTATCTGATAAGTCTTTATGAATTCGTGTCCTTCCAATAGACCCTTTGTTATCTGCCTGTTATGATCCCCGCCCTCCCCTTTTTAAACAAGTGCCCTTTTGTTTTAAACAAGTGTCCTTTAAAAAAAAAAAGTTGCCTGTTGCCTTTTGATACCAGCGACCTTTTACTAAATAAATGCCGTTTTTCGAATTTCGCAAGACGGTCGTTTATTATGCTACTCTGAAGAGTGCCACCTATTGTCTGATAGTGTGCATGCTCGTCCGGTTGGAACATCGCCCCCATTGAAAATGGTACCAGCCCCCCCCCCCCCCACCCCTTTTTCTTTTGCGGAGGCCAAGTGTCTGCATTTCAGCACGGATGTGAGCCCTCGAAATTGTTAACCCCCCCCCCCCAACAAATGACTTTGCTACGCCTCCGTAAGGCCCTGAGGTACCCCGTCTTTTGCCATTTGTCCTAGTAAACATGCCGGTGTTATCTGAAATGTATACACTCTTATGGAACCTTATACGGACAGAACCTTTACACACGTGACGTGTCCTGTCACTGTCCTATTATAGGCATGTGCAGTCCAACTAATGAGTCCAGACTTCACGGAGTTTAAATTAAACACTTTACCCTTTGATAGCAGCTAATTATAAATTTATCTTGCGCCTCGTTATACTCTTGCACGCCAGGATGGTAGCATTTCACTTGGTTTGCCTAATCTTAAAGGGAACATGAAATAAAATTTTGATTGCATTTTTTTTGCTTAAATCAATAAAGGATGATGTTCTCAACAATATCTTGTGTATGGCGGTGTTTATTTTCTGGGATAAATGGGGGAAAATAATTTGTGAACATGTTTGGTCAAACTACTCCGCCCCACAAAGGGAAGCTTCATTAACATAAAACTTCGCGAGGGGTATGACGCAAGTTAAGGCAGCGACTTGCCGCGCTGCGGGGGCACCGGCATTGCGGCGTGCATCATAATACATGTACATGTACATATGCATATACATTGCGGCACTGAAAGTTTTTCTGGTGTTTCGTTCGGAATCGAGGAGAAATAACACCCGATTTTCGGCCATGCCGACAAGGTGTGTGGCTGCTGGGTGTAGTAAAACTACCAAGGATGGAGTAAGCTGAAGAGCGCCATCTTTTCTCCGATAGTGCGCATGATCGTCAAGTTTGAACAGCGCCCCCATTGGAAGATGGTACCAGGACATCCCCCCCCCCCCCCGCCCTCCCCCCGGAGGCCAAGTGTCCGGGGAAAAAAACTGTCTACATTTTCAGCACGGATGCGCGAGCGCCCTTTTCATGAAATTGTAACCCCCCCCCCCCATAAAATGACGCCTCTGTATAAGGTCTTTAGGTCCCGTCCCCGCCATTTTTTTTGGTCAACTTGCCGGTGTCATCTGAATATGTAATCTTTACATTTGCCCTCATATTGACTGACCATTTACACGTACACGTGTCCTGCCGCTGTCCTACGATGGGCATGCGCAGCGAAACCAATGAATCGGTATTTCATTTGAATTAAATGGGCTAACTTAAGTTCAACCTCTTTTCCGATAATAACCTCAGGTGGTAAACTTTCTTCCCTGCATCCTGATTTGATACCGAAAAGGCAAGTGAATTTATATGAATTTTTATCGTGTATTTGGTCATTTCATTGTAAACGTGTGTGACGTGTTTTACCGTTCATTGTTAAGTACGTCTGATCCTCCTCAGAAAGTTGCTTTTTGCTTGTAATAATATAATCTCTAGAGCCTACTTGATTTTGAATATCCGATACCAAGGTGAAAGAGCAGGTAGTGGGAGCGTACTGCTCCACACCATTGGACAGAGGTTGCACTACACTGGACTTAGCCTGCGCATTAATTATGTATGCAAGCGTGCATTGTGTGGGTCTTTCCTAGAATGCGCATTGCGGCTTTTCGAATTGGGGATATGAATGCAGCGCAGCGGACGATGTTATGGTGTTGCAGTAAAATTAAATAGTGTGGCGCTGTTTAGTGTACAAGTTGTAATCAACGAGTGTTCATGTATCTACTGAAGAGGTTGGCGGGTTTTGCTGAGATGTCGCGTCAATGGGCAAAAATAGGAAACAAGTTGGAGGCGTTTGGTGGTGGAGTCGGTAAGTAAAGGAGTGGCAGGCTGAGGAAATGTGAACGTGATTTTAATGTTGGATTAGGAGTAATAATTATGAGGTCAGTGAGGCATAAGTGGTGGTTGCTGGTGGGATTGAATGATTGAAGTACTAGCGCCCTCTAGAGTAGACGTATACTTCCCCTACACCCGTAGTCTGGTTCCAAGACCTGACAATTATTCCCGACGCTCACGTCTAAATTGTAGGCCAGGCAGCCTCCAAGGCCAAAAATAAACACGACGACATTGACGGCCCTTTTTTGAAACTCGGCTTCGTTTCTTAATTCGCTTTAGCACTTATAGCTTTTAATGTTCCGATAATTTTTTGATAGAAATCACTCGCTTCATGATGATAATACAGTTTGATATTTCTGTAAGAAAACATTGACTAATGTTGACCTGGAATCTTCAAAGTTAGGCATCCAAATAGTACTGTTAGCAGGCGGAGCCGAGTGAAGACCACGCCGATTTTTTGGAAATGCCAGTAACGGTCGTCAAATTCAGACGCAGCAAAAAATTCGCCCCTCGTATACGATCAGAGTACAAAATCGTCGTTGAGTTTCAACTTTTCTAAATAAAAGCAATGAATATTAATTATCAACTCGTTTTTAATTTTTTAATAAGCAATTAGCAGTGGTAACAAAACCTATATAATACTAGGAAATACTCGGGCGCTATCCGATTGTCGACGAAATGAATTCGGCAAACTTCGGACAGTTTCGGAAAAAGGAGGAATTCCCTCCGTTTTAGTCACGTGACTTTTTTGTACTGTAGGGGACCCAATGATACCCCTTTAATTTGTTTCATGTCCTTCCTTGTCGTCCTTAGTTTTGTTCGTAACGGGTTCGGTCCGGAAAAACACTGCGCCTCTAAGTATTAGGGTCATTGCACGTTGGAAGGTGGCAGGCGCATTGCACAGCCCAAATGGCATGCGCGCGTACTCGAAAAGCCCATACTTGGTGATAAAAGCAGTTTTTTGTTTGTCTTCATCTTCAACTTCTATTTGATAGTACCCACTGCTCATATCCAGTGTGCAAAAGAACTCTGTTCCTTCCAAGACGTCTAAACACTCTTCAATATTAGGCAAAGGGAATGCGTCCTTAATGGTAACGTTATTTACAGCCCTGTAGTCAATACAGTAGCGAACTTTTCCGTCTTTTTTCCGAACTAGCACTGGAGGGGAAGCCCATGCAGACGCTGACGGTTGTATGACACCTGCTGTAAGCAAGTCATCTAGGTGAGTTTTCTCCTCTCCCTCAAAACCAAGGGGGGTTCTGCGCATTTTTTGTCTGATGGGGACTGCATTTCCTGTATTAATAGGGTGTTTAATCGCAGAGAATCTGCCTAGATCTGTATCATCTCTAGAAAATACATCCGAATATTGTATAAGTGTGTCGGCGATTACGTCCGATTGTTTGGGGGTTAGAAATTTACAGGAACGTTCCCATAGTTCGCGGACATGTATGGGTATGTCACACTCGCTAACCTTTCTCACGGATATGTCATTTTCGGGGAGGTCCAGCAAACGCCGGATTTTCCCCGTGTCTGCTGAAGGATAACATACATCAATTTCCGGAAGTATCTCACTAACCTCTTCTGCCCTACCAATTATATGTCCCTTTTTCAAATGGACATATCTATCACTGTCATTACGTAGACTAGTATGAGCCTCCCTGGATTGTGATTGTATGACATTACATGTGCTATCCTGTCCCAAAGTAACTAGAGTGTACGGTATAAGTAGCCCTTTATGATTTCTTTGTGGTGCGTGAATTAGGAATGATTTGTCCGATGGTGATTCAAACAGCACCTTTGCTTTGACTATGGTACTTGGAGGAACCACGACCTTTCTTTTTAACACCACTCTTTGCACGGAGTATTTTTCGTCCTTGTTCTTTCTCATTTCGGCATTTATTTTGTCATCTTTAAGTGTTACGCTATCATCTCTGAGGTCTATCCGGCCGTCTTGGGCTTTTAAAAAGTCCAACCCTAGAATAAAGGTGTCTGCAATTGGGGCAACTAATAGACTCCAAGAGTAGCTGTGTTTTCCTATAACTAAAGGTACCCCGAAGGCCCTTTCCGCGACCATGTTGCTAGATTGTTCTGCCCCTCTAAGTAGAACCCTTTCTTTTGTTTCTAATGGGGGGTCCAATCGCTTGGCTAAGTTTTCGCTTATTATCGTAACCTGGACGGCTGTGTCAACCACAGCCTGGGTATAAACCCCTCCGATCGGTATTACAAGGCTTACCCCGTTATTATTTGGTGAGAATTGTATTTCCCTTAGCTACAATGGGTTATCATTTCCTTCACCCAAACCTGTTCCAGCAAACGCCTGAATTTTAGTTTGCGATTGTTGGCCGTTCTGCTCCAACTCAGCCGGTCGTTGGCCATCACGGCCGGCTCCGAATTGTTTAAAGCACTCGTATTACGAGATGGCGAAGGGGAACGCGATCGAGATCTAACCCTACCCTGCGGACAATCTTTGGCAAAATGCCCTTCTTGTTACAGCTAAAACACCGAAAATTTGATGGCGAAAATGGCGGCGGAGGGCTGGAGTTACGACTTGGCGAGAGTCTAAGGAAAGAGTTTTCCCGGGCAGGTGACTCACTCCTTTTTGTACTTGCTTTACCAGGTGGAGGGCTGAGGGTGTTGATAGAGGATGGTGGTTCACCTTTGAGAGTTTTCAGATATGTCAATATTTCTCGCATGTTTTTGTCGATTCCCGACCAATCAAGATGGATATCGATGTTGTCTTTGCCCGTTTGTTTAACTTTGTTGGGGGTTCATGGAGACTTCATCACTAAATGCAACATGCCGGATTTTTGGTTTGTATGTTCTGGATAGTAGCTTGTGGTTATGCGCTGCGTTTTCGGTGAATTGTATTGCCTGGTTTAATGTTTGGGGATCTCGGAAAAGTGCAAGTTCAGCTGCGTTCACATCAGCGCATCCCTTCAAAAATGCCTCTCTAGCAATGGTTTCGAACACGTCTGTGTGTGCAGTTGGAAACGCGCGTGTAGCTACTTCACGTACGCGCTGTCCAAATTCTTCTACGGTTTCATCATCTCTCTGACGTATGGCAGCAAGTTCGGCCCTTTGAATTATTGGATCTTTCTTTTTCGAACATTTTCATCAACTGACTTTTGATTTTTGCGTAATCCTGCTAATCTCTGGCTCTTGCCACGCGTAGCAGTCAAGAGCTTTACCCGTGAGTGTACCTACTAACTGCATTAATTTGGTGCGCTGGCTCCATTGGCAGCACTCTGCTATAGCCTCAAATTTAATCGCAAAGGAATGAAAATCAGTTTTACCATCGTAGGCAGTTAACTTGGGAACATTTTGGTTAGAGTTCGTTGTATACCATGATGCGATAAACCCGGAGCATCGGGTTGGTGAGTTGGCTGATTATATCCAGCAAACGCCGGATTTACTAATGGAATTTGGCTATCAGACCCGGGCAAAGACGGTGTGTGCATGGCTTGTGTTGTTGCAGGATTGTATGCTATTGTCACCGATTTCTTGATTAGTGAGTTAGTTTTATTCAGATCTGCATTGTTACGTAATGGCTTTTGTTGAGGAGGTGCAGTCGTTGCCCCATGGTATCCCGTATCCCATTGTTCGCTTTTGAATGACATGCCTTAGCCCGGCGCTGCGTTCAACAAATGCAATGGGAGTGGGGGAGCTTTGTCGTGAATGATCTTTAGATTTGCATCAATTACTTTATCACCGTTAATTCAATCGGAGGACTTAGGGGCTGTGGCTTGTAATTCCGCACCCTTCATTGCCGTTTGTGAATGTGAATTACCCTGGAAAGTGGACGGCGCCATGGAATGCGCGTTCGGGTTTTCTTGACTCGGGGCTGGTGTAAACTGGATGAGTTCATTTATTTTTGTTTCGAGTCCATCTGTTTTGCTTTCCATTCGGCCACCTAATTCATGAATAGCCTGGGTTACTTTTTGGGTGTTTTCTTGCATTACTTGTACAAGGATGTTTATTTGGTTTGCCAGTAGGTTTACCGGGTCAGGCTTTTGAACGTCTATTTCACTTGCTTCTCTTGGCCTAACGGGGAGGTTTCTAGGGCATCTTCAATTATTATCAATCCCTTTTCTTTAAGTTCATGCAGTTTTGTTTGGAGTGTAGGTGTTTCACCGAAATCATTCATATTTACCAGAGTTGCTGACTCGAGTCATGTGACTTGGACTCGAGTCGCTATTTTTGTGACTTGTGACTTGACTTGTTAATACCAGCTTTGACTTGTGACTTGACTTGGACTTGCAAACAATGACTTGTGACCTGACTTGGGATTGCAAAAAATGACTTGTTACCAACCCAAGTCAGACGCTACTCGAGCGACCCAATACACTTTAATTAAGCTATTATAGCGAGAAAGTTTCATTCCAGAAAATAGATCTCAATGACTGAATCCAGTAAAATGAATAGTTCCCACTTGTTTCAAAATTTTTCAATAAGACTGTCACAACAAACTACAGTTTTCAATGACCAAGTCTCTTGCTAAATGTAATGGTTGAACAAACTTTGAAAGGAACCTTTCATGAAAAGAAAGCAGGCCTTTGTCAATTGCATGTAAAATACCGGATAGCCTAACCCATTGGTAGGCGTTTAGTATACATGAAATTGAACAACAAAGTTTTAGTATACTACATGTAATCGAGTGAGTGAAGTCTTTTTTTCATGTCATCTCAACATTTATTTCTACAATGTAAAGTAAATTTATTAAAGTATACAAAGGGCTAATATATCCGACAGATATGCGATAAACTACAAGACTAGTAATTGCAACACATTGAAAAAGTGGAATTAAGGAGGCATGTTAAAAATAACTTGTAAGTCTAAACGCCAGGTTCTTTAAATTATTACAGCTGGACAAAATAATGTGCAACTTGACGTGTTCTTGGACAAAGATACTTGTGACTTGACTTGTTTTTAAGACAAAATGACTTGTGACTTGACTTGTGACTGGACCTGGTGACTTGTGACTTGACTTGGACTTGCAAACAGTGACTTGTGACTTGACTTGGACTTGTAAAAAATGACTTGCTGCCATCTCTGATATTTACTGACCCCTTCTGTTCCCGTTTCGCGACTATGACTTGGGCATATTTGATCCCTATCCCTGGAAGGGTTGTTTTCTTTTTACACTTGCTTTGTTAATTTCCATGGCATGTTTAAACTACCAAGTTAAATCAATTACACTTACAATTTACGGAAAGTGGAAGCTGCTGTTCTATGGTCTATTCAATCGACCTGTCACTCAAAATTTGCTGTAACTGCCTTCTGCTGTGAGTGACACACAGCAGTTTGACCTGATTTACAGCAAATATAATCATAAAAAGTATGGCAAAACGTCCGTCCTGTCAATTTCTTTCTTTCCTATTTTTAATTTTTTTTTTAGTTACATAGCGATACAGCAACTTCCAGTAAAAACATTATATAAGCAAATAATAAACAAGATTGGTAATAAAACGTTTGGAAGCAAACGTCTATCGAATCAGCCAAACATGCTAGCAAATTCCAACAAACGCCGAATGATGTCAGCATGCGGGGTTAATTCATAAACGTTTACGAATTATTTCTTCAAAGACCGAGACCTCTTTGACATATGCAGACAAAAATAAAGGACATTAAACTATCTGAATCAGGAATTTGACTGACTTTTATAGTGTATAACTTCTCTCTCTTTTCCTTTTTTTTTTTTTTTTTTAGTCTGGAATATCCAAGACATCACAAAAAGAACGCAAAATTTCTCTTAGTTTATCCTAATGTAATTGCGACGCACGCAAAGAATTATCCTCGTCGCCAATGAAGTATTGGTACCTATAATGACCTCAGCGCTGGGTGGCGCGGCGGGAATAGGTTGAGTCTTGGGTGGGTAGCTCAGCAGTACAGCACAAGAACCCAATAAGAGGTTACTCACAAGACTGCCTCGTGGCTGGCCCACGCACGGGAGCCCCCGGCCAGCCCGACATTCATGACTGGTTTATTACATAATCACCACAGATGTACAGTGCATGCAGTGCAAACATACAGACACGGTCGCCATTATAGTTTGTGTTGGTGAATTGTACTGGGGTCTAATTGAGCTCTATATTCACGATATTCAGCGCAGTGGGAGACAAGATATTGAGCAGATAATACGCTTTTTCGGGCTAATTCTGTAAAGGTGAGTACGTAGGCCTACATGAAGAAAATTGAGACGTTCAGGGTTTTAATTAATCGGTAATTGAACGCATAAATCATCCGCATATTTACTAGGGAAAGAATGTTGCAACCTGTCGCTACTTCGGCGGTTGTGTAGAAGTCTCTGGTTTCTGGTATGGAGCTTGTCCAAAAAGTGGTGCGGCGACGCGGCTTTTTTTTTTTTTTACCTGACTTTTTTGCTTCAAATGTCGACTGATGACTGCAAATGGTGCCCGACTAAACTTAGTGCAAATATATGGGAGTTCAGAGAGGCTACATTAAGCTTATTCTCGATCATAATCCCATCTAAAAAAAACACGTTAAAATTGTGCAGCAGCAGAATTCCAGTCAAACCAGTGAGTTTGGCGGTTTTGAGACATCATCTTTCATTGAAAAAAAAAACTTTTTCATTTTGCCGACGCGCATGGCTACGGCGACGCGCGCGCATACCAGAAACTGGAGACTTTTTTTTTTTGGCCTTAGCTTGAGTAACTCCAGCTGACATGCTCCATATTCATTCACATGTGAATGAATATGGAGCGTGACAGCTGGAGTTACTCAAGCTAGTTTTGCTCCTGGTTTCTCTTCCTACCCTATACTGACAGCCCCTTCCCTAATTTTTTTTATGGGAAAAATGAGGAAAAAAAAACACCAAAAACTGTCAATTTCTACCTTTAACCCTTGACTACACGCAGACGCCTCCATGATCGTACACAAAATAATTTGCCTTACAAAGCACCGTACGTGTGGTGCCTTCTATAATTCTAAAACGGTGGCTAATGGAAAATCTAGCTGACTAACATAACAGTGACACTACTCTCATCATAAAGGGGCATGAAATGTTTTGTTGTAGAGGTGATAAACTATAGAACGACTTGCAAGCTTTAGTCAGAAACCAACCAGACACAAGTCTTTTAAAGCAGAGTATTCCAAGTATATTCAAAGTGTTATCTCCATTTTTGTTCGGCAGTGGTTGTGTGTGAAATTGGTTTGGGGTTGATATGTATGGGAGGTCGTTTGTCAATTAATTGTTTAGCGCATTTTTGACATGTTTTTTTGGCATGGTTTTCATGTATAACAATTAGTTGTAAACCATAAAATTGCTGCCCAAAATTCTTTTTATGATTTACATACCAGTAAAGTAATGCTTTTTTTGCACTTTTAATACTTGTTTGTAAACTATGAGTTACACTTGCATATACAGTGTGAGTAAAAAGAAACCAACTGTACACTTTTGGCCATAGTTTTATTCTGCAGCAATATAATAAGATATTTTCATATGTACTTTTAGAGTAACCCTTCCTGCTTCTTTTGGTGACATTTTCACTGGATTAGTTTTTCATGCATGACTGCACAGGAGACAATTAAAGGGGTCGGGTGAAATCTGACTTGCGCCAACTGGTCAGGGCTGGAGTTTTCACTCATGTATGTATCCTCACACAACATATCTCAGCTGTATCAATCAAGCCATGCATCTTTAAAGTGTCTTCAGTATTAATAATGTACCATTTTGAACCCTACATGTACATGTAGATGAAATAAAGTGATTTGTTTTTTATCACCGATTCAATACAATTTATTCAAAAGCATTTATCAATTTATTGAGTTTTGTGGATGATTTTGTGGAATAGGAACTTTAAACTCCTTAATGATGGTTGTAAGAATTGCATTGGAAATTTTAGACACTTTTTTAGACAGATATTTTGTAAGTAAAATATAAAAAAAAATCTGATCTAAATAAAAAAAAATCTGATTTAAATCAAATCCGATTTTTTAAATACAACTTACAAGTTAAAAAAAGCCAACCCTGGAATGCCGCCTCCTGAATTAAAATCACAAGGATTATGTTTGACCGCAACCAGCATTTTGCAAAATGGCAATTGTACAAAATACGTTAAGGAGAACACACGAGAAAGTGTGGATTCGTAATTTAAGAATTCACGAGGCGCAAAGCCCCAAGTGAATTTGTAAATTAAGAATCCATACTTTCTCGTGTATTCTTTGACTTAAACCATTGCGTCAAAAGAAGTATTGTCATTAACAGTCCAGTAAGAGGAGATGAAAAGACTTGCACATCGCGTGTCGAGTCTTGGCCATTGGGCAATTTACAAGGGAGTTTTTCGAGGTTCTTATTCGTAATCAAGCATTGTGGCGTGTTCAGCATACATCGCCACACCCGTACAACCAAGTAATTTTGTGTGTAGGCTCCTTCTATCAACATGGATAGTTCAGACGACGATTTCTTTCTGACTCGAAAATGTTTTCGCATTGACGGCGGAGAATCTGACAGTATGCAAATTGGTAATTTTCGGAAGGAAAGTTTTCACGCAGACGGTCTTATTAATGCTCATTATCATGATTATGGAGAACAATAATTATTGTCGGACATGTTCAAAGTGTGGATCGTAATTCCGAATCCACACTTTACTAAAGATTCGTAAATCCGAATTCACACTTTTAACAATGGTCAGTGTGACATCATAGCAGTGGTTTAATACATTAACACTGGTAAATTCAATCACTTGCCATCATTTCAAACAAGGTCATTCTGACTTTTAACACACTTAATGTCCAGATTCGGATTTACACGAACTCATTTGCCCAAAATTTGTTTGTTTTTGCAGATTTCCGCCTTGCGGCAACGACACATTTTGTCTCTCTGGTTGTTTAAAAAAAAAAAACCTGACGATGTTTTCCGACGAGATCCGTACAGAGGAGCAAATTAATCACCTCAATCGTCATGAGTACACTCGCACTGGCCGCACGTTTGTGGAGCCCTTTATGGAACCATATTGGTGGTGGCCCGTGGCCGACTTGGTTCCAAGGACCATCAATGCTAACGTTATATCAGTCTTTGGTGTGATTCTTAACATCATCAGCACAGTGGTACTCATGTACTATGCTCCGACTGCAACTGAAGAGGTAATTCTAATGTCCTTCAATGTAAAGGGCCAAGGCAATATATTTTTTGTAAATGCAATGGGGGGTTCGGTCACTAAATCGGCTTCTTGTTTATCGCACCAAGCCATATCGCAGGGCAGAATAACTGTACGAAATGCTCTTTCCAACAATATAAGAATATTTTTAATTAGAGGAGGGCGAAGGAGGGCTTTTTTCCAATCCAATCACAGCACTCCTCTCTTTCCAGAGAACATTTGTGGTAATTTAAGTAGGATCGTACCATACACGAAAGGGATCCAAAATACAGTCTTTCAATTTATTGTTGTTTTCAACAGGGATAAACCCATTAAACAGAGTTTTTTTTTACGTTTCTGTACATCTCTAACCAATGTATTAATAATATTGTACAGGAAAAGCAGTGAGTGTCAAAATACTTTATAAAGTTCAAACATTTGTAATATAAACATGCGCCATTTTGCGCCACAATTGGTTATAATTCCTCTGAGGTACAATGGACGCATCCATGCATGACCCTTCGTACTTGTGGCACATGTCGCGCTATAGCTAGACCAAGCTATGAGCTATGATTAAAGCTATAGTCCATCATTTGCAGCTATCCGAAAAGTAACTGGCATAACTATTGTTGAAAAACATACTTGGTTGAAAGATAGTAGGGGGACTATAAACTCCCTGTGAAATTATTCTTTCTGGCAAGCTGTCATTTCGAAGTCATCAACGAAAGAAGGCCTTTCCAACGGTGCTTCTTAAGACGCACTGTAGGAAAATTTAAATTAGTAGTTCGTTTTGTTATTCGGCAAAGTGCGTGCAAGCATTGGCACGATGCACACGCACCCCATGGTTGCTATTATTCGTCGGATCAGCGCGTGACATCGCGTAGCTGCAATCGGCTCAGTGAGAACGTGTCTCGGACGCTGAATTCAGGCCCAATTCAAAACATGATTCAGCAACTTTTGATTTGAAATTGAGATCCTAGAATGCTGTTTTTCTCGGAATATACAGCTGAAGCTGAGCTGAAACTTCATCAGGTAGTTGTTCAGTACATGTACCCTTTCTTTAGATTTTGAGCACTTTTGTTGCTTCAAACGAACAAAATGCACAAATTACAAATGATGGACTATAGCTTTAAGCGCTGCCTTTGTCAAACTGACCTGGCTTCTCACTGAATGAAGATCAAATAGCATGCAGAAGTCTGCTGACAGTTTTTATTGCCCTTCATCCATTTTATTGCTTTTTTTCCGCCACTGCAGGCTCCACGCTGGGCGTACTCACTGGCTGGCGTGAACATCTTTCTCTTCCAAACCTGCGACTCTGTGGACGGGCGGCAGTGTTTGAGGTACAAGACAAAGCTGAATTGGCATCTGCAGCTTGCTGAACTATTCGACCATGCTTGCGACTCGATCACCAAAGGTAATTATAAAGGGCTGTTTCCTTAAGTGCCCTGCATATTTCTGTCATCACTCCAACGGCAGATCCGTGGGGGAGGGGGGGGGGGTGCGCCGCAGGCAAAAGTGCTCTCTCAAGTGAAAAAACAACTTTTTTCGGTCATTGCTGGGTTGGCGAGCACCCTCTCTGCACCCCCTGGATCAGTGACTGCACTCAATCTTGCAAGTCTTGATTCTCTGTTTCTGGCTTTTGGTCTGTTATGTGTTGACTGTGATACCCTATCCACCCCACCCTTCTCTCTGAAGTTTTAACTTGCGACGGTCTTCCATACTAATCCCCGCCCCAATAACTTTGGATCATTCAAAATACGCAGTGGATGGACCAGGAAACCAGTCTAGGTCTCCCCTAGCTCTCCCTGTCTGACAGTTGACGAAGGGGTACTTGTGCACAGAGCCCATACCAGCTATCGGTACTTGTTCTACATTACCCCGAGGACAGACACACAAAGGGAGAACAACAGATAATTTCAGTCCTTGGGAGTTGGGTCTTTTGTTCAAAACGGTCCTCTGTAGTAAGTTTGTGTGCTCAGTCTATGGGAGAGTGTTAAATTACAGGGACAAAGGAAAACACAAAGCATTGTCCTCGGGAGTATAACGAAACGAAAGTATGTACTTTTTTATTTGCAGTGTGTGTCACCATTGAATTTGGTATCTGCATGAAGATAGGCGGTCGGCCAGAACTCTTTGTACCGTTTATGCTGACGGCAATGTTCATGTTTTTCACGGCACACTGGCAGACCTACATCTCTGGATTGGTGCGATTTACCACGTAAGTTTCCCAGTTACCATCCCAAACGAATCAATATACGATTTTGCCCGGTGAAGGTCTTCACCGACATATTTCATAAACACTGTATACTCAGTGGCATTTCGGTTCGTCAACACTTAAAGGGCCCATGAAATGTAATTTTGTTTAATGCAATCCCAGAAAATGCACCTTTGTATCCCTTTAATCTTATTTTCAATTTTCATTTTACCATGTTTCAAGGGTATTTTGGCGCCATTTTCGTTCTTATGCTAATGCGAATTTCCATATTCATGAGCAAAAGTGCGATGTCATGTCAGGCAGAACCTCTCAATGTTGCAATTAGTTTATGCACGAAAAGTTGCCAAAATTTTGAATATTTTGCTGAATACTTTCTTTATTAGTGATTCATTGTTGTGTCTGTTCATGGCAGAAAGCTAATGAGCAAACTTTTCTCACAAATGTTTTGAATGAGCATTATTTTGGGTTCACTTTTTCAATAGAAACACACCTAATATGAACAGTGTCTCCCTGAAATGACATCACGACAACATTGCTCTCAGTTTTCCGGAAAAGCTTGGAAAATTTTAAACGTTTAAAGAAATGCACTTTTCAACAAAATTAACCAAAAAGTAATATCACTTAGTTTTCATACGCTTAAAAAGAATTAGAAAGTAGCACAAACTATGTCCCTAAGGAATATTCACTTCATGAGCCCTTTAAGCCCCAAGTAAATTGCGTTCAGGTGACTGGAGCTATATTCACACGTGCTCAGCGCTCCAAGCGCGTGCGCAAAAACGGTGTGGGCCTGCTGTTTGGTTTTTCACTTGTTTATCTCCGATTTTTGTTTCTGAAAGGTTCTACAAGGCGTTTTCCCGTAAAAAGTTATTATGACATACATGTACAGTCGTGTGTAGAGCGATGTATTTATAGAGTGCCGTAGCCTCGTGGTCTGGAGCATTGAACTTGTGATCTGCGGGTAATTCTGCAGGTTGTGGGTTCGAGTCCAGCCTGGGGTTATGGTGCTTGTGCCCTTGGGCAAGGCACTTTGTCACTCATTGCTTTTTCCCACCCAGGAGTAAATGGGTACCTTTGAAGCACCATCTCTACCCTCACAATAAAAGTGTGACTGATTTTTAGTTGCTTTTTGTGCCGAAATGGCAGCATCGAGCAGTGTATACTCCCCATGGAGCTGAGATTGTCTTTGGAATGTTTCATTGGCCCTATGAGCAGGGTAATAATGATGTAGCGCCTTGAGCACCAGTCCTGGTGGATACGTGCGCTTTATAAATATCCACTATTATTATTATTATTATTATTATTAATTAAATCTGGATGGAGAGACAAAGCGAAGACAACCTTGTGGTGCCACACAGGGAAAAGTTACTCTAACATCTTTTATGAAGACTTTGCAGTGATTTTTACCAACCAGATTATCAATCGGCATTGCGAAATGACTCCCGCTCACCAGCACAACATTGTCAGTCCGGGGTTTTTCCCACCTCTAAAAATAATTCTTCATTGTCTTCTTTGTTCAGATAACCTCAAGCTTCCGAGCTACAGTATCCCTACACTTTTGAGGAATCCTTGTTCTCCCCCATAAACCGACAGAATTACATATTTATTACAGAATTACAGAATTGTATTTGGTTCATTTGGTTTCGTTTCTGACAGGTTTGATGTACTTGAAGCTCAGCAAGCTCTGTGCTTTGGCTATCTGGCTACAGCCGTCATGGGCCCAGATATCTGGGCCAAAAAGGTTTCATAACAATTATCAGCCCAAAATGAACAAATATCATCGTTCAGCTTGCTAAAAATTGTTTGTGCTTTTAAACCGCTGTTGGCATCTGTATTAGATCGCTGGGGTAAACAGTTTAATGCCATAAAAAGTTTTATGCCACTGGTCCTATACATGAGACTTGTAGGTTTGCATGATGGACGTGAACAAAGTATGGACGGTTTGTGGTAACACCATGTGAGTTTTATCTCTTTTGAGTTGTGTGGTTCTGAGAAGAACCAGCTGTTTTTAAATCGATTTTCGTCGTCCAGAGACACTGATGACGAACAGAGCACGCCATCATCCGTAAGTGCTTCTTGCAGCTTTCTGAGATAGGGCCTGTAAACTCGGAAACAATACGGTACTTCTAGTGGTGCACTCTTATCTTGTTAATCCCTTTGTCAACAAACTGGCCCCTGTTATCAGATTCTGCTGCTAATCCCCTGCACTTGTCAATATCAGCTGTGTGACAGCGCATGTGGCTTTATTACACTAAGTGTTAGGGATTACAAAGCCACTGTTTGGACAAAGGTAAAGATAGATCAGAGTTCTGGCCAGTTTACAGTTAGATTGACTATTTTTCTCTTTAGAAGTTTCTAGTGGAGGCTACTCGCAATGCTGTTCGAAGTGTCAATTGAAAACAACTGGTTCTCAGAGCCACAGAACTCAAAACAGATAAAATTTCACATAGGTGTTACCGCAGACCTGTACAGATCCCAACAGAATCCAACTGTGGAATTAAGGAAGATACTAACAAATTTTTGCTATGAGTCCTCTATTGCGTGATTGTGCATCAAAAGATAGCTTGTCTGATCTGCTGATAAAAAAAGACTTCTGTTTTTGAAGTAGATGAACCTGGATTGCAGACATTTGTGTTTGTACGGTACGTAACCTTATGGCCACAAAGTTCATGGATGATGTACTGTCGTTTTCATTGGAAAACAAATCAGCAAAATAAAAAAAAACACCAAAAATCACCGGAGGTCACTAATACACTTCTGACATTGGAATAAAGGTGATACTAATAAACTCCAAATGGACATTTGTACAAGTCCTTGATTGCCTGATTGGGCATCTAATATAAACTGCCTATTACTGACAAATCTAACAACCATAATAGAGGGCAATTATGAGGTGCTTTAACACTACCGCACATATCACATGCGCAGACTTAACGCTCATTCAACCAATGGCCCGTAGACGATATGATGTCACGTTTTGAAATGACTTGTAAGCAACGCTTGATGTCATTACATATTTTATGACGTCATCAATGAACTGCATTGTATCAATGCCTTCGCACCGAATACGTACATGTGTACGTAGTAATTTTCACTTGCTGCGCTGCCACTCAATGATGATGTAACAATCAAGACGCAGTCGCTGTGACGTCATGAAAAATTCGGTCAAAAGAGGATGAGTGATCATGAAATTGACAATTGATTTTTGAATTATGGACTGAAGGCATGCACATTACGCATGTCTTTGACTTGTCCAATTGGTCCAGTGACGTAATACGCACATCCTCTTAAAAGTTTAATGAACAGAGTGCGTGTGATATGTGCGTGACGTGAGCACAAACATACATACACATTTTCTAAAAGCGCTAGCCAGATAAGTCTATGAAGCAAGGAAAATGAAGTTCATTTGATATTGACTTTTTGTTAATTTCCTTATCTTCCATAGGCATTTGCGTTGGAGTGGAGGGAGCTGATAATAATTGCAACAGCGATGTCGAGCATTTTAAAGTTTTTCAACCAAGCTGCCTTTGTTTGGGGACGGGGCCACCGTGTCACAGTTGCTGTAAGTGATTTCGAAATTCATTTGGGTTCCAAACAAAAATGTTTTGTTGTAGGCCTTCTTGAAACACACCTTGTGAAGTGGCTACCAGAAAAATAAAAGTCGTCCATCACTATTCTACTGTGCTCCTCTTACCCATAAAGCATCACTACATATGCATTATTCCCGGAGAGCGCTTACCATTCGCTAAGATTTATTTCCCACAGTACCTTGAGGCCCGCCAGCCATTATACTTCCTCTTTTCTCAGAGAGTGCTTTCTTGAGCTCTTGAGTTTGCTCATATTTGCTGATCATGTAACCTCTTTCTCCTGCCATCCCTTTGATATAAGTTTATGATTTCATTCTGCTATTAAAAGTACCATCTCTTTTGTATCAGGTGTAAGTGCTCAGTCTAGCAGCTTTCCGAGTTAGAGCCTGCAAACTACGAAAGAATACAGTACTTCTAGAGGTACACTCTTATCTTGTTAGGGATTATAAAGCCACTGTTTGGACAAAGGATTAAGATAGATTAGAGGGCTGGCCAGTTTACAGTTTGATTGACTGTTTTCCCTCAGAAGTTTCTAGCGGAGGTTACCCGCAATTCTACAAATTGGTTATTTTTTTGTGACATTTTTGTCAGTTGTCGGTACTTATGGCCTTATAAGTTGGTGATGTTTCGTACAGGCTGCAGGTGGCTATCTCCCGTACACAGCTGTTTACAGGCTACAAGTAACCATTGTCTTTCCAAGTGAGTGGGGCTTTTCACAGGCTGCAAGTTGCTTACTCCACACGCTCATACTTTATGGCCATTTACGTGAGGCTTCGTACAAGCTGCAAGTAGCTCACGGTGTACCGAAGGAGTGAGGCTTTGCACAGGTTGCAGATCGCTCACTCCCTACCTACAACTTATAACACGGCCACTAGCATGACGCTTCGCACAGGCTACAAGTAGATCACGCCTCAGTGCACATGCATAATAAAGCGTCGCACGCGTTGCAAGTTGCTCACTCCCTACTATTTATCCGGCCGTAAGCGTGCAACTTCGTTCCGTAGTAAGTAGCCATTGCTGTACAGAACAATGCATGGCTTCGCATTGACAGGGTCCTCCTGATCACCACATTTTGGCCCCGACAACTGTGGTTTCCGGAGCATGCCATATCTCGCGGAGCGGTCCATCTGGAAGGCATGGAGAGGCTGGGAGGCTCCTCCTCAAACATTGGCCAGACCTTCATTGTCAGCCTCGGTCAGGCCTGCTTTACCCTGATCCTGGCAAGTCTCAATGGACGTGCTGGCTGTTGTTGAGCGCTGCATCCGACATGCTGGACTTTATGTACTACCACCATCACGGCCCATAGCTGGATTCAGTCAACTTACGGCATTTCTATAAATGGTGCTGATGGCGTTCAGTGGATCACTTCACTACAACTCTAACCGAACTCTCCACCTCTTCCCAACGGGTCTTGCGAATTGCACATGCCCCCACATACCTCTACAACTTTTTAACTTTTTTTTGCACCAGAAATGTGCGGACTCATGACGTTTCACCACTGAAATAACATGATCCTCCACCATACTACCGTCATCAGCCTTTGGCAAAATAGTATTATCCCATCCACCAATTATAAGGTGGATCAGAGGCAATGCTGCTTGGAGCTCATCATCTTA